GCTGTTCGGTGCAGCCACGGGCCTGCTCAGGATGTCCGTGATCCCGTGGGGGGTCCCCGCGGCCAGCTGGGGGCCCAGCCCCGTGGGGCTGAGCTTGTAGAAGGAGTTCTGCACTGAGTACTGGCACACAGGGGCCTTCATCTCCGGAAACTGAGCCAGCGGCGTGTTGTTCAGCAGGAAGGTCCCCTGCAGGTTGGACTCCATGATCTCCCAGTCAGGACAGGGAAGGCTTCTCCAGGCCCCTAAAACCCAAGAGCCCACACTCTAGCCCCAAATCTCATGGCAGGCCTGGAGGGTCAGGACCAACTCTGAGCCCCTGACTGCCTCCCACCTAAGGCCTCGGCCAGGCCCTGGCCCAGGCACCGGCACCCGGTCAGCTGCTCGGAAGTCAGGTGCTCGGGGCAGGTGGGAGGCCTCCCCGGGGCTCCTGGCCTCTCTCCTTGCCCTGGCTGGACTGGGTGGCCCCCTACGCCTCAGCTCAGACCCCCTTTCTGCCTCTGAGTCTGGGGACCCTACATGAGAAGTTTTAAGTTCAGAGAAGGAACATTTCCCTGATAAAGATACGGCCCATTAGAATACAGGCCCGAGACTGGCTGAGCCGCCGGAGCCGCGCCACCATTGGTCGGGGCACACACGGGCCTCACATTGGCTTTTCCTAGACAAATTGCACTTTGAAAGATTGACTGTAAAATCAGCCAGGGTGTGTGTGTGTGTGTGTGTGTGTGTGTGTGTGTGTGCGCGTGCGTGCGCGTGTGTGTGAGAAAGACAGAGAGCGAATTAGCTCTAGAAGCCCTGCTCATCGCCAGAGGGTCCATCTGCTCCCCGCAAGTCTAGCATCTAGGAAAAGGTGAATGTCTTGGGGGCCCCGGGAGGCTCCCAAGCAGCTGTTTCCCTGGGGGAGATGAGGCTGAACTCCGAGGCCACTGTCCGGGAGCTGCCCCGGCCCCTTTATGTGCAGATGTCCAAGCTCCACAGGAGAACACAGGCTCTTCCTTCCGTTCCTCATGGGGGGATGGGGTAAGTGGCTTAAGATTGGGTAAGTGTGGGGATGGGGTAAGAGGCCGAGTGGCATTGCTTTCTGGGGGATGCAAGTCCCTGTGGCTGGCTTGAGAGCCTAGGGTGGGAGCCTGCTGGGCAGAGGGCAGGGTGGGGCATGGGCAGCCCTGACAGTGCCGGGGTGTGCCTCCTCCAGCTGCAGGAGGCTGAAAAGAGGGCCACCCTGCGTGCCTGTTCTTGCCTCCACCTCTAGTCGGCCTTCCCTGACCTCCCTATCAGAATCTCTTCCTCATTTGTGCCTCGGCTGGAGCAATGGCCATGCTCTGTCTGGTGTGGTGCCCAGTTTTGAAATCCCTGATGGCTGAGAGGGTGGTGGAGCCCCGTGCCAGGCACTCTGTCAGAGCTCAGTTAGTAGTTGATGCACGGGACTGGGCTGAATCACAGAGCATGCATATGCTTTTTTTTTTTCCTTGAATAAATTTTTATAATGTACAAGGCTTTATTGAGGGAAACTCTCATTTTACAAACAGGGAAACCAAGGTATAGAGGAGTTGGAGCCCACGTTCCAGGTATATGGGTGATTTCTGGACTGGGCAGGATTCTTCCCTGCCGTTTTTCTCTAAAAATGGAAACTAGCATGCCACTGGCCTGAACATGTAAAATGCCAGGAAAGATTGTGACTGCCAGACAGACGGACTTCTGCTCATCTCTGTGCCTGGTGGCCCCAGAGCCCTTCCTGACCAGGCATGAGCTCTGCAGAGCTTGATCTCTCACTTCCCAGAGGCCGCCCTGGTAGGTGGGAGACGAGAGGCACTGCTTCACTGAGCTTCTCCTGGGTTTCCAGACCATCTTGGTTTTCAGTGGGGAGCAGAGGACCCCAGGGCTCAGGGCGAGCTTCCTTCTCACGCAGAAGCTGACCCTCTGTAGCAAAAGGATTTAGGTTATGCAAGAAAGACCTCACAAAGGGTGTGGAATGATTCTCTACAAATTTGGTTTAAAGGGAAAAGAGCTATGTCTTCGTCTGAGATGGCTTTGCCCCCAGGCTGAGTGCCACAGCCATCTGATAGACCTGGTTCTGGTTCTCGGCGTCACCACCCAATCCCACCCAGGCAACTGTGATTCTGAAACTGCGTTTTGAAAAGCCCCCTGGGTGCTGCAGATGACCTGCTGCGAATGCCCACTGGCCTGGACGGCCTCTCCGATTCCAGGAGAGAGGCTTGGAGCGGGGTGGGACTGGGGTGCTCCAGGGGCCTTGGGATTGTGACTCCATCACCCCCTCATGATGGGGAATTTATGTGGCAGGAAAGCCACAGCCAATGATTTGATTCTTTTTTTTTTTTTTTTTTTGAGACGGAGTCTCGCTGTGTCGCCCAGGCTGGAGTGCAGTGGCCGGATCTCAGCTCACCGCAAGCTCCGCCTCCCGGGTTTACGCCATTCTCCTGCCTCAGCCTCCCGAGTAGCTGGGACTACAGGCGCCCGCCACCTTGCCCGGCTAGTTTTTTGTATTTTTTAGTAGAGACGGGGTTTCACCGTGTTAGCCAGGATGGTCTCGATCTCCTGACCTAGTGATCCGCCCGTCTCGGCCTCCCAAAGTGCTGGGATTACAGATGCCAAGCCTGACAAAGGCATTGGTGTCTGGCACCCCTAGGATGAGAAACTGAAGAGACTTTAGCAACCACCTAACCCATTCTTCCATTAGACAGATGAGGAAACTGAGGTCAGCTTGGTGACCAGCCTTGCAGGAAGTGTTAGCGACTAGTTAGAAACAGGGCAATTTTTTCCCTACAGCAAGAAAAAGTTCTTGAACTTTGAATGGCATTGAGTACTGGGGCCAGATGCCTTCCTAGGAAATGCTGGGGAGCACCCTCAGTGCATGCCAGCTGGGGGCCTGGCCAAGAATCTTGGTGAGTTGTGGTGCCCCCTCCCCCGACCCCCAGCTTCTCCCCATCCCATGGGAGCCATCAGGTGGAATAGAAATCTACTCTGCCACCTCTCTGGAGGCCTCTCCCAGGTCAGGGGTCCTGATTAAGGGATTGTCCAGGCTTCTGGGAGGACTGCGCATTGGCAGGCTCTCTTGGACCTGAGCCCCACCCATAGATTCCTTCACATCCCAACCCAGGCTTTAGGCTGGCCTCAGCACCCCTTACCCCCTAAAGACGAGCGGGAAGGAGAGATAGAGCCCTGTGCCATTAGTCCATTTCTTTATTAATTTTGACATTGGTTCGGCTGGTGTAGGGAGAATGGTCTATACATCAGAGTGGGGTAGGGGATTCTCTCCCATAACAGAGCATGTGGGAGAGTCAAGAAAAGATCCATTTTCATAACAATTAAAAAAATCAAGGTAATTTCAAAACTTCTAAAAAGCGTCTAATGTGCAGACTGCAGCATTCTCTAGGCATCGTGTGGAGACCCCAAACTCCTCCCCTAACGGCTCCTACTAGCAGCCGGAGCGTGCAGCCATGCCAGCCGGAGCAGAGGTGCCAAAGCGGAGCCTGGAGCCGCGGGGCCCGCGGGGGCGCTAAGGGGGCTACTGGGTTGGCTGCAGCGGCGACCTGGGAGAGGAAGGTGCAGGATCGAGGCGGGGGAGGCGAGCCCTGCGCCCAGCTTCCTTGGGCCGTCATCGAATCGGTCCCAGCCGCGCTGCGCGACCGCCCTGCCGTGGCCCCCGGGATGGGGGGAAGAATGGGGGCGCCTCTGCGCCCTGGAGGCCGGGCCAGGGTGGCTTCTGGCGGCGACGGCAGCCGTCCAGCCTCGCCCTGCAGCTCTTCAGAGGCAGCCTCGGGGAAACTGAGGCCCGGAGCTAGAGCTTCCTCTCCCTGCCCGCCCCTCTAAGGAAGCAAAAGCAGCCCCGCCCCCGGCAGACAAGGTGCCTCGGCCGCCCCGGGGCCTGCTCGGCCCTGGGTGCATCGGAGCGGACTTGTGGGGGAGGCAGGGCCCCTCTCCGCTCACAGGCCCCGCGGCCAGGGGGCCTCTGACGTGGAGGGGGCTTCTGTGCTACTTGGAAGGTTTAAGTGTGTCCCGAGGACACTCCCGCAGAGCGGCGGGGCGGACGGGGCCAGGCCGTCCACACCGCGGCTCCGGGGTCGAGAGGAGCCAGCCCTGTCTCTCTCTCCTGGCCCTGGGGACGCCCGCTGCGAGGGCGGGCAGGGATTGTGCTGATTGGGGCCTCCCTGGGCCGGAGGCTCTAGTGGAACTTAAGGCTCCTCCCTGATGGCACCGAGGCGAGGAACTGCCAGCTGTCTGTCTCCTTTCTGCCCTGACCCAGAGCCTGGCCCCAGCCTCTTGGCGTCCAGGCTCTCTGCCACCAACTCTGCTACCACTGGTCATGCGATCCAGGGAGCTCCCTGGCTGGCCTCTCCAAGAGGCCACAGGGGCTGGGCAGAGGGGAGGCACCGAGGCAGACAGGGAACAGCCTCGAGCCTGGCACCTGCACCCAGGGCCCCCAGCCTGCAGGCTGCCTGGACTTAGAGCACCAAGTTCACTCTGGGAGACCTTGGGTGGTCCTGACTTCTAAGAACTGGCAGATACATTCACTAGCCCTATTCCTTTCCTTCCTCTTTCACTGAAAGGCAGGCCACAGCTCCTTCTCCTGAAGCCACAGAAGTCCTCAGGAGCTGTGCTGTCAGGCTCTGTACATACTGCTAAATGTTTCTATTGGTTTGCATAGTATTTATTGTTTTTCATATACACAAGGCTGATTACTGTACAGTTTACACTTTGAACACAGACTATGATATAGTGCTTGAAGATATAGAAAATCTCTTCTCTATGGACATGCTGGTGCAATCCTGGGTCAGCCACCGGCCCGTCCCCCGACTGAGAGAGAAGACCCTTTCAGATGGGGTCCTGGCTCCCTTTGAGCCTTACAGGTAAGCCTGGGAGTCCTCGCCTCAGATTCTTAAGTCCCTAACACAAGGAACCCCGAATGCACTCTCAAGGTAATGATTTTCCGTTGGAAGATGACTTGTACTGAAATTGGCAGAGAGAGAGAGAGAGAGACAACATAAAAAATTCCAGTTTATCCACAGCAGAGTCTATACAGCTTCAGAAGTCACAGTAAAATCTGTGTGTAGATTCAGTGGAGGCGAGTGGTGTGTGTGTGTGTGTGTGTGTGTGTGTGTGTGTGTCCTGAATGTCATGTAGAGCGATCTGGCAGGAGCGTCACCAGGGAGTGGAGGGGGTGTCACAAGTGGAATGGAGGTGTGTAGGTTGGGTTGGGGAGGGTGGGCAGATGAGGACATGGCTTAAGATTAAGGTGGCTAAACTGATTTCATGCCTAGTTTTCTTTCTTTCTTTCTTTTTTTTCTTTCCAGGAAGCCCACATGGATTTCTGACAGATGAGGTCAGGAAAAAGTACCCTGTACAAAGTCAAAACAACTAAAAAAAAAAACCCCCAAAAACCAAAACCCATCCCCAGCCACAAAAAGCCCTCATTCACTTTTGCGTTCACACGCTCTCCCGCGCCTGTTTTCTATCCCTCTCTCTCCCCGCTTCTTGCTCCTTTTGTGTCCTGGTTCCGACAGATCAGCTGTCATTGCAAGAGGCAGGATTGAAGCCTGGAGGTCATGCGTCTACAGTCAGTCATTCATGCGAAGAGGGGACTAGCGGGAGTCCCTTACAGAGGTCATGCCGTCAGCCCAGAGGAACGTGTGCACCGCTGCGGTGGCCCTCAGGTCCAGCTCTCCTCCTGTGTGCATGGCAGAGTGTGTGGGGTTCAGGGGTTGGGTGTCGAGGTGTGATCCTGGGAGACACAAAGAGAGAAGCGGTCACTTAGAATGCAAAAGGGCAACGTCCAGCAAAAACCCTACACACAGAGTTTTGTGCTGGCAGCTCAGGCCGAATCTGACTCAGGAAAAACAGTCTCCCCAGGCAAGGCGACGTGCAGAGGGTGCTGCTCTTGCAGGCCCAACCTCCTGAGATGCTGCCCTCCTTCTCTTGCTCCTTATGCAGAGGCTGTTCCTCAGAGCCGCCACATAGGCCTCATGAATTCCTTCTGAGTGCTCGAGCGCTCTAGGATGCCTCACTGTATGGGCCAAGGACAGTGCTGTGCTCCATGTCCTGGGAGAGGAGCAGAGGCCCCTGTGCCTATGTGGTCACCTGGGGAGACATCCCCCCAGCAGATCCTTGTACTTAGGAAGGGCCATTTTTCTTGAGCCAGGGCTTGTGCCAAGAAGGGGCTAGGTGAGGCTAGGTGACACCTTCACTTTCTCAGTTCAGCTCTGCCAACATGCACTGATGTCTGCCATGCGCCAGCCTTGGGGACCCAGGGATGGTGCAGACAGGCTCCCTGGCTTTGGGAGCTCATGCTTCAAGGGTGACAGCTCCCCTTCAGCTCTGGTCCACAGCTCTTCCTGACTGCTGCCTCTGGCTGCTCTCCCCATTCCCCTCAGATGGACAAGATCTCTGAAAAGCAGATGCATCCTCCTCTCCTCCTCCTGTATTGAGTCCTAGTCTGGAGAAGAGCAGATTTGCTGGAGGAGCTAAGCCTACATTCTTCAGCCTGGGATTCGCAGTGAGAAAACTCTCCTGTTCCCATGGGGCCTCCAGCCTCCAACCTGGGGTGAAAACTCCATGTTTTCAAGACCAGCCACTCATGTTCTATCTGCAGGGACCCTGGGACCACTGGGGAAAGGAGGATGCTTCAATAGGGAGAAGGTGACAATCTCTTGGGCAGGGCAGGAAGTGACACAGGGGGGCAGGAGCTCATCCCCAGGTGGTGCCATCCCCAGACATGGAGCTGTCTTGGGTTCTCCAGGTGAAGGTGTTGGGGAGGAGTGTTGGAAGGGAGCAGGGAGAGCTCAGCTCTTGGGTGGTTCCCCAGGGATGGGAGGGTGGTGCCGGGTTCCTTGCCAGGGGCTGCTGTAGAACTGTAAAACCAGGAACCGCTGCCGCAGTCGGTGGACAGTGCTGTCACCGTAGAGGGAAGATGCTTTCATCACTGCCGGGCCATCACATCAGTCAGGCCTGACTGTCTCCTCTAAGCCTCTGAACATGCTCTACCCTCCTGTTCTCTGCCTTTGGTCACGCTTCTCCTGTCAAGGCTGCCTTCCACTCTCCTTTCTGCAGAGGTTCTGCCTGCCGCCCTCAACATTTCCACCCCACAAAACTTTCCTGATCCTTGGAGCAGACCCCTCTCCACTCTGGAAGCTCTCCCTTTTGTATTTTGTAAAAATACAAAATACAAAAAAAAAAAAAAAAAAAGAGGCTGCCTTTTCTGATCGGGAGATGGCAGAGTCGAATGGGTAAGAACATGAACTCTGGAGCCAGACCACCTGGGTTCAAGTCCCGTGCTGCCTGACCTCAGTCAAGTGCCGTACCCGCTCTGTGACTCAGTTTTCTCTGCTGTAAAATGAGGGCAGTAATAGGACCTACCCATTAGAGAGGTGTGATGTTTAAAAAAGCCAGGACACATAGGTGCTTAGCATTGTATGAATGTGAACAATTACTTGGCTCTCTAGAAATGTTACCGTCTCTGTCCGTTTGTGCTTTTTGATGTCTGCATATTTCCCTGGTTGGATTGGAAACACCGAGGGCAAGAACAGCCTCCTGGTGCTCCCCACGGTGCCTGCCCCAAGGGGAAGCAATCCTCAAATAAGAGACCATCATGGAATGTGCGGCCTAGGAAAGATAGTCTAGGATCTCCCATCTACTTTACTGCCCAGGCACTGAGCAGAAGAGAAAGTTCAGACCTCAGAGATCATGCTGGCATGACTGCCCATTTCATCCCTTGGTAAACTGAGACTCTGGAGGTGCAGTGGCAAGAACAGGGGTGGGATGAGGATCTAGGTCACCTCACTCTGCTCAGGACTCCTGCATTGTTCTGACCTCTTCTCCTGGGTCCCCTCACCTTTCAAAAGGTTAGAAAAGAGTCTCTTTCATTCTTTATTTTTATTTCATTTAGAGACAGAATCTTGCTCTGTTGTCCAGGCTAGATTGCAGTGGTACAATCATAGCTCACTGCAGCCTTGAACTCCTGGGCTCAAGCGATCCTCCCACCTCAGCTTCCCAAGAGGCTGGAACTACAGGTGTATGCCACCATGGCCAGCTAATTTAAAAATTTTTTTTAGAGACAGGGTCCTCCCACATTGCCCAGGCTCATCTCAAGTGGTCCTCCTGCCTCAGCCTCCCAAAGTGCTGGGATTACAGGCATGAGTCACTATGCCCAGCCCTAGACAGCCCTTTCACAAACATAAACTCAGCAACCATCATAACCATCCTACAAGGGAAATGCTGGCATTATTGCTATTTTATGGCTAAGGAACCTGAGGCTTAGGGAGATCATTTGACTTGCTCTGAGTCACACTACAAACAAGACCTGCAATTATTTGAGTCCCAGGGCATATATGTTCTTACTTACTCTCTTCACATCAGTGCTCACAGTTACCATTATTATTTTGAAACCTTTTTCTTGAAGTGTGACACATCGAAAGGGACTATTTTCATCCTCCCTTGAGGAGACTGAAGCTCAGGGCTTTTACATGACTTAAGGCCATACAACCTGGAAGCAGGAGGAAGAGGCCTTAATTCTAGACACACAAGCTCCAGCTTTCACTCTTTGAAACAAATACAGCCCATTCTAGTCATTTGCAATAGCTCCGTTCTATAAATTAGTCACTGTCTGAGGCTACACGCAGTGGCTCATGCCTGTAATCCCAGCGCTTTGGGAGGCTGAGGAGGGCGGGTTGCTTAAGGTGAGGAGCTCGAGACCAGCCTGGCCAACATGGTGAAATCCTGTCTCTACTAAAAATACAAAAATTAGCCAAGGGTGGTAGCACACGCCTGTAATCCTGGCTACTCAGGAGGCTGAGGCAGGAGGATTGCTTGAACCTGGGAGATGGAGGTTGCAGTGAGCCAAGATAATGCCACTGCACTCCAGCCTGGGCAACAGAGCAAGACTCCCTGTCAAAATATAAATAAATAAACAAATAAGTCGCGTGAACATGGAATTAGCGAATACTGAACCACTGCTCCTAAGGGAAATACAAGGTTAGGCTCCCGCGAGCCTCTGACCACAATATTTTGGTCAACTGATGAATACATAACTTTGTCTTAGGTGCGTTTCTGTTTCAAGACACCGTATGTAATATATAAGGTTGACTCATTAACACTGACTTCACCAGCACAGGCACTCTAACTCATCCCTGAGCAGAGCTTATCTGATGTCCGTTCTCTCCTTAAGGAACATCGCAGCCTTCTTGCGCTTCACACCAGATAGCGTTTCCCTCAGGGGCCATTCTAAACAATGAAACCAAAAATTCGAAAAATGTGGCACTACACAAGCTGTGAGGAGGACACTTATTTATAGTATGAAACACCGAGGCAGAGTGTGGCTTTGTCCATCCTCAACTGGGACTGCATGTGTTGGGCGACTCAAACTTTTTGCCCCTGTGTGCATGCCCATGAATGAGCAAAAGCACGGTGAGTGTCAGCTTTGGGGCTACAGATAAATGTTAATGAGTAGGCGAATTCGCAAATGCCGAATCGGTGAATGATGAGGATCGACTGTACATGCTTGTCGGGGGTGGGGGCAGTAAATTAGAAAGCCTTCGGGCCCTCAACCGTCTTCTCTGTAGCCTTAGCCCTGGTTGGGAGGGTAGGGCATTTAATGCTGTCCCCTAACCCTCTGGGACTTCAGCAGGAGCTTTTCTCCGCCTCTCCCTCGCCACTGCTCTCACCCCTCCTCGCCCCCTTCCCCCGCCGCCACTGTCACACTTGTCCCTGTGCCTGTCACTGACAGAGGGCAAAGTGCTGTCCCAGAGCCGGGCTGCTCCGTGTTTCTGACACCCACGCTAGTGTGATCTGGTCCTTAATCACCTGGGGTGGGGGCTTCAGCCACACTGCTGATCATTTACAGCAAATTAAAATGAAATTCAAGGCTCCCTCCTTCCCCCTAGCTTGGCTTTTGGGCTGCCTCTCTCCCACTCAGGAGCATCCATAGAACCTGAGCCAAACAGAAATCTAAAGCCACAGCTGCCACTGCTACCATAAGAAAAACAAGTCAGAAGAGTGTACTCTTCCTTTCCGTTTGCTGCTTTTAAACATTATTTGCATCTTTGGGTTCTTTCCAGGACCCAACAGCAGCTACTCAGAGTCTTCTAAACCAGCAGCCTAGTGGGACCCCTGGCAGTGCAGGGGTTAACACGGTGACCTCCTTAAGCTGCTGAGATGTCAGGTCTAATTTTATCCTATAACTGGATCTGCCAGTCCTCTTTTTTGCCCAAGTGCTGAGATATATCGGGAAGCCCAGAGTCAGCACTTTTGGTGGCTCAGGAGGCAGCAGGCCCTGATTTTTGCCGAAAGTGGAAAGCCAGAGCCTCCTTGCTGCTCGGCCCCAGAGTCAGGCCCTGGGGTGTGAATGGTAACGACCCGGTTAGTGCTGCACTGGGGCCACCATGCCCCCTCACCTCCTGCTGACTCCCACCCCGAGGTATCCTGTACTGAGCTGCCCCGAGCTGGGCAGCATGAAGGGCCTCGGGGCAGCTCAGTACAGGATGCCCCAGGGAGGATGGAGATCAGAGCCGGCCACTGAAGCCCCCAGCACCGCACACACCTGCTGGAGACGGTCGCGATCGTGCAGCGTCTTCATGTCCCTCCCTCATGGCACGGCACGGCACGGCACGCCCCTGCTCCGTGGCCACACTACCCCGTGCTCACACACATGCACCATGGCCCAGGCCCCAACCCTGACGGTCTCCTGACTTGCAGAAAGCATGTCGTCCACCCCTTAGGCCTGTCAGCTCAGCCCTTTCCTAGAAAGCAAGGGAGCAACATGTTTCACAAAACACCAAGGAGAAGCTAAGCCTTGGCCAGGTCAGAACTGTAGCTGGGCTCCAGGTTCAAGAGACAGTCCAGTCCTCAGTCTTGGAGCTCTTATGTTGAAACATCACAGCCCAGACAGACTCTCCTGCCCTCTCCAGTGCCCTGTCCACCACCTTCTAGACCCCCATTGCTTGGTTTCCAAGATAATATTACCACTTAGATTTACAGAGTGCTTTTACTCTTCAAAGAGCATTTTTTTCTTTCTGGCTTTTTGTTTTTTTTTTGAGATGGGGTCTTGCTCTGTTGCCTAGGCTGGTCTTGAACTCCTGGCCTCAAGCAATCCTCTCGCCCCGACCTCACAAAATGCTGGGATTACAGATATGAGCCACTGTGCCCGGCCCAAAAGGCATTCTTACAAAACCGTGCGGTCCCTGTTAAGTGGATGTTATTAACTCTGTTTCCTTGATGAGGAAGCTGGGGCTCAGAGCCGCTGTTAGTAGGGCTGGGAAGCGACAATCTCTGCCTCGAGACATAGCCGCAAGTTGTTTGTCCCACATCATGCTGGGGTGGCTGGGAGGGGATCGGGTGAGACAGGGAGCAGCCACTCCACCAAAGAACAGGCCATGCAGAGGGGATGAGAAGGGCTGCGTTACCTCCCGAGAGGCTACTCCAAGGAGAGCGGCTCGGGGTCACTGTTTCCCCCTTTTCAGGCTGGCCCGCTTCACTATCTGCGCCCCTTTCCTGCCCTCTATCAGGTCCGGTTGTAGGCCACTCCCTCTCAGCTCCACCTGCAGACAGCAGCAGAGACAGAAAGCAGGATAGATGGCAAAGATGGGCAGAACACAGGCAGAAAATTGAAAGGAGGCTACACGGAGGCGGCAGACACACTGCCCACAGGGGAGAAGGGAGACTGGAGGGAGCTCATGAAGAGGTGAGTGGAGGGAGGTGTCACGCAGATGGCCCGGCAAGATGGGCAGAGCGAGGCGGCAGTGATGGCGCTGGGTCCCCCAGGGCCGCGGGAGCCTCAGTACCTTGGCATGTTTCATAAAGGAATCAATATCGACCTCCAGCTCACTGGGATCCTCCAGGGGCCCCGTGACAGTCACCTCCTCGTGCTCCTGGGCAGCGTCGGCGCTGGACAAGTCTATCTGCCGAACCACCTTGCGAATGATCTGGGAGAGGAAGGGAAGGAGGAAAGGGCTGGTCAGGCCGGGCACGGGGGCTCATGTCTGTAATCCCAGCACTTTGGGAGGCTGATGGGCAGATCACCTGAGGTCAGGAGTTCGAGACCAGCCTGGCCAACATGGTGAAACCCTGTCTCTACTAAAAAGACAAAAATTAGCCGGGTGCGGTGGCAGGCACCTGTAATCCCAGCTACTCAGGAGTCTGTGGCAGGAGAATCACTTGAACCTGGTGGGTGGAGGTTGCAGTGAGCTTAGACCACACCACTGCACTCCAGCCTGGTCGACAGAGCAACACTCTGTATAAAAAAAACAAAAACAAAAACAAAAACAAAAAACGCTGGTCAAGCCCTCAAGAGCAGGTCCCAGGAATGAGCTCCGAGTGGGGGAGGTAGCCTTTGTCCTAGGAGCCCCTCCTTGAGAGGCCAAGAAGAGGGACAGCCTTTGCCCCATCGCTTTACGGAAAACCCTCTGCCAGACAGCCCTGAAGGGGCCTTGGCAGTGCCATTCCATGACCAAGGTGTGACTGGGTGTGACCTCCCCCTTGAGCCCACAGCCTTCTGTTTTGCTTTTTGGTATGGATGGAAGTTTGCGCTCTTCCCCATTCTACTCCCAGGCGCCTAAGGGCAGAGGGCATCTCTTTTTCGCCCACCCACTCCCGTATTCACCTGTCCAAATATTCAAACCCTTTACTCTGTACCTGCCATGTGGTCTGAGTGGGAGATGAAACATCAGCCAGACACGGTCCCTGCCAGCAAGCAGCTCACAGTGCAGGAGGAAAGACAGACACACAAGCAGCCTCGCTCCAAGGTGATGCGAGCTGCACCCCAGCAGAAGCACATTCGAGACCCTGCCTTGGCTCCTCCTCTCTTTTACCCATAGCTAGCACCGTGCCCCATACTTGACAGGCAAGATCATGTCTCTGAATTAATATCTGCTACCAATCCAATGCGTTTTCACTTCCTTTAAATTATTTAATTATGGTGACGGGGGCTCACTCTGTCACCTAGGCTGGAGCTGGAGTACAGTGGCTCAATCAAAGCTTATGCAGCCTTGAACTGCTGGGTTTAAGTGATCCTCCTGCCTCAGCTTCCTGAATAGCTGTGACTACAGGCATGCGCCACCATGCCTGGCTAACTTTGTGTGTGTGTGTGTATTTCTTTCTTCCTTTTTAAAAATTTTTTTAGAGATGAAGTCTTGCCATATTGCCCAGGCTGATCTAAATGCCTGGGCTCAAGCGATCCTCCTGCCTTGGCCTCCCAAAGTGCTGGGATCACAGGTGTGAGCCGACACACCTGCCCACATCCATTTTATTTAAGGAGGCCCATGGTAGGCCTGGGATGCTCAAACTGCTTGTTTAACAGCTGTTTTCAGGGTTAGGTATCATGGGACTAGGTCTGGGATATTTCCTTGGGGCCGGCCCTTCTGGAAGGGAGCAGCAGAAGCTATTCAGGTTGACTCAGACAAAGCAGTTGTGAGGACACCGTGTCTGGACTGCAGATGACCAAAGCTCCCAGCTCCTGGGCCCTCCATCCCTCCTGGGCACAGGGGCAGCCAGCCTGGCCGTGCTCACCTGCTGTGAGGGCAGCAGGGAGAAGCTGCTGGCTTCTACCGCCTTTTAGCTTCTAGCCCACCTGCCTGTCCCCAGCACAGAGGGGAACAACACTCTACACCCACCTTCTTGGTGACAATGTTGCCCTGCTCATCCGTGAACTGTTCCTCTGTCACCTGCTCCCCTGGAATATTCTGAAACTCATTCCCCTGGAATTAGAGAAGAGGAGAAAATGCAAGATTGGTGAGTGGGAGTCTGGGAGGAAGAGGAAATGAAACAGCAGCAGCCAAAATAGCCATGGCCCAATAACTCCCCCAGCAGGAAACTCCGGCTCAGCATGCAGCGGGAGCCACGCCAGGGCTCCCAGGGCGTGGGCGACGCCCCTGAGGGTCTGGGAGGCCTGAAGATGAACAGCCCAAGCTTGCAATTGTGCACTCGGCCCTCACAACACCCCCTGGGAACCGGCAAAATGGGGGCAATTATGCAAGTCTGACGGAGGAGGCCCTGAGAGAGGAAGTGAGGCACCTGTTTCCTATTTTTACAGCACTTTGCAATATAGAAAAGCCCTTCGACAGGCAGCATCACCCAGAATGTGACTTGCCCGAAATCCCAGAGCCAGTTGGTGACAGAAACAGGACAATCCAGGTGCAATCCCATGGTGGCACATGCCTGCAATCCCAGCACTTTGGGAGGCCAAGGCCAGAGGACCACTTGAGTCCAGGAGTTCAAGACCAACCTGGGCAACATAGTGAGCCCCCGTCTCTACGGAAAATTTTTAAAAATAGCCAGGCATGGTGGTGTGTGCCTGTAGTCCCAGCTACTCAGAAGGCTGAGGTGGGAGGATCACTCGAGCCCAGGAATTTACAGTGAGCCCAGGTTACAGTGAGCCATGACCATGCCACTGCACTCCGGCCTGGACTAAAGAGCAAGACTTCACCTTTAAAAACAAAAGAAAAAAGAGAAGAGAAGAGAGAGAAAAGAGAGAAAGAGGAAAGAAACAAAGAAGGAAACAGGACGAGCACAGCCTCCTGAGACCCAAAGCTGAGTGTTTAATGTCACTGTCACAACGCACTGGGCACCAGAGGGCAGGTTCTGGTGGGCGCCATACACACTCTGGCTCCCATACACAACCTGATCCCGGGGGGACCTCCTGGTCCTTTTCTTCCAGTGTCTCCCAACTCTGGGTCTGGAGCTCCCCACAGCAGTGTCCCCTCAGCCCTGGCCTCCGGCGCCCACACCGCCAGCCCTGCCGGCCTCCTGCCAGGCGGTTACCTTCAGGAAGACCCGCCGCCGGACCACCCTGGTGGAGATGGTCTCCTCGTCGTCACTGACGCCCTCGCTCTCCCCCAGCTCCTTGTCCAGCTCCTGGTGGATGTGCTTCAGCACGAAGCACAGGGACCCCCTGACAATGTGCATCACGTTCTGACAGCTGACCAGGAAGAAACTCAGCAGCACCAGTGTGACCAGGAGCTGGGTGACGAAAGTCCACATCCTCACCTCCTCACCAGCCCGGTCCTCCGGGGACCAGAGCAGCCAGGGGCCAGACCGCCACGGGTGGCCCACCTCTCATTCTCCACTGGGACTCCTGAATCCCCCAGGGACCCCTTGCATTCCCCCTCCCTATCTCTCGGGTTTGCTCTCTTCGTCTCTCTCACTGTTTCTCTCTCTCTGGGTAGGACACCGAATGGCCCTCTCGGCTGAAGCAGCCCAGCCCAAGTGCCCTTCTGCCCAGCAGCCAGGCTCTGCCCTTAGTGGCCTGGGTGACATCACGTTCCTACAATTTTAGCTCCCCAAACCAGCTGCTGGAGCTGTCCAACCGGGCTAGAAGGAAGCTGGCAGGTGCCCATGTCCTGAGCACTGAAAGCACAAGTGAAAGTCACTGTGTGAGTGACACCCACTGCTGCCTAACCCCGCCCTGCCCCGCCCTGTCCAGAGAGCTGGAAGTGGGGGCTCGGCCTCTTGCCTATCCTGCCCGTCCCCATGGGAACTAGAAAGAGTTCTGCCCACGGAAAGTTTCTTACTTTCAGAAAATAATATGGCCCGAGAAACCAGCTACTTGTGTGTCTCCTTGGGCTGCTACTGCAGTGATCTGAATGATGTTCCCCAGCATGGTAGGGATGAGACCAGCTAATACCCTGAACACTTGTCTGTTTCAAAAATTGCCCCAAAAGGGTGAGTGATGGGCTCGCGGACAGTCAAGTCAGCCCAGCAGGGGCCCAGCACAGGTGGTGGGGCCACCTGGAAGCCAGTCTGTAATTCTTATCAGCTCGCAGGCCCTTGCACCCTTCCTTTACGGGGCACAGCCTCCCGAAACTGAAGCGTGGAGCTGGTGTGTCTATTTAAGGCCTGTCCTTAAAGGCTCTTCCAGGGCTGGGCTATCAACGCCCACTGAACAGGAACCACGCATATTAACTCGTGTTTACAGAGCTGATTCACAAATGCAGCCGCAGCAGCTGTGGCTGGAAAAAATTTCACTTTCTAGATCAGGTTGTTCCTCTCTGAGTGGCAATGCAGCATGGCAGAAAGAACACAGATCCGGGACACAGCAGACTGACCCCGCAACTCACCTACTGTGGGGTCTTGGGAAGGCTGGGTACCTTCTCTGTGCCTCAGTTTCCTTATCTGTGAAGCAGGGATTAAAGTGCTCTCCCCACTCCTCTCCCTCAAGGCTGCTGGGACAATCATGCCGCTTTTGAATGCTAACACTATGAATAATAATGGCAAATGCTTGTGATAGTGCATGGTTCTTTGTGGATTTCACGTTAATTCAGAGACACCTTACCACAAGCCTAACCAAGGAGGTTCTATCGTCTTCCCGTTTTACACAAAGGAAACAGAAGTAAAGTATTCTGCCTAGGTAGAGGAGTAAGTAAACGGAGGAGTCACATTCCAGATGCCTTTCACTCCACAATGCTCCTCATTTCAACAAGAAAGCATCGGGAAAAGTATGTGCAAAGAAGCCAGGCATGGGGAAACATCTGGTTTTGGCCCAGTCAAGAAGAGTCCAACTTCAGATATTTCCTCCTAAGTCCTCAGGGAAATCAGCTGGGTCACAGTCATTTCAGGCCACCTCCCAAGTCCCAAGTTACAAGCAATCTCTCTATCTCCCTGTCACTGTTTTCAGAGGTCCAGTGGAAATACTAATAAGCGGGTGCTTTGCAAACCATCAGTCACCTTCAAGGGTCTCCTTATCAGCCCTTGGGGCCTGTGAGACAGGCACCGGCAGCAGCCTGCCGGGCCCTCCTATCAGCGTCTCCAGTTCTGGGCTGGGCATGCTGGCCTTGCACGTGCATGCTGGACGTGAGGATGTAGGGCTTGGGAACTGAGGGATCTGACCCTCCTGGTCCCTGACATTGGTCCACTGTGTGACTCTGGAGAAAGCCCTTGGCTCCTCTGGTCTGCAGTGCCCTCGTTTATAATTGAGGGGGTTGGATGTGTGATCTAGAAGGCCCTTCTAGCTCCCCCCACCAAAGGCTGACTGCAGAGAGGCAGTGGGAAAACGTGCTATAGGCGTCTTTCTCTTTCCCCAGGGATTCAGGAGAAGAGACCCAGTTAAGATCATGTGTGCTCTGGGAGCAGGAGAACTAGGTGCCCAGGAGGGCCTGATGGAAGAAATGCACGGGCCACCTGTGGTGAGGAGTGCACACAGGTGCTGGCCCCGCCTGGGGCACATACTTGGCAGGGGAGCATTCTAAATAAAACCTGACTGAATTCCTAGCAGTTCTATGGCCGGCAGCTCAGGGTCTTCCTTCCAGAGCCACCCTAGTCCTGGAGTCTGAGATTCAGGTAGAAAAGAAGGGAGAGAAGGAAAGAAAGAGAGGAAGGAGAGGAGGAAGCACCATGCCTGGATGAGGCCTGAAAACAGGAAAAGACAGAACATGTCGTTCATGTACACACTAAACACGCAAATGTGGAGAACAGCGGTGCATGTTTTACAAGAACACAAATGGAAAAGACACCCATTAATATGATGGCCAGGATGTGCTTCCAAATAATAGGTCAGCGGGAGAAAGTGGGGGTGCAGATGAAACAAGATTGGCCACAAGTAGATCATCATGGAGCCTGGGAATGGGGAGGGGGGAATGAATCAAACAAAATTAAGTTCAGCAAACTCAAAGGGAGTCCAGAGAAGTGGAAGAAAGGAGGGAGGGCCGGGAGAGGGAGGGCCGGGAGAGGGAGAGGCCCGGGAAATCAGGAGCAGGAGAGGAAACCTCTCTATCCCAGAGCCCCTCTTCTACTTGGTGACCGCCATCCAGAGTCCACCTGAATAGCCACAGAATTCCAGAGCCAAGTAACTTCGGCGACATTCCAATCACTCCCTCCTTTACCAATGAGGACCCTGACGTGCTGGAAAGAGAGCACCTTGGGCACATCACACAGGACACTGTAGGAGGAGAGTAAGCCCGACGCCCAGTGCTGGGTTCCTAGCCCTTTCTAAAACGAGACGGAACAAGAAAACCAACAAAAGCCACAACTTTGGAGTCAGCCAGACCTAGCTCAGAGCCCACTTCTGAAACTGTGGTCTTGAGCAAGTTGCTCAGCCACTCTGATCAGCAGCTGCCCAATGGGTACAGGCACCTTAGCAGGGATCCGGGAGGCAGAAAGGCAGGCCTTACCCTTGACTTCTAGAGAAAGGGAAGCACCACCACAAGTGTTAAAGGAAGGAGATATGCTTAGCTCAGGGCTTGAGTGTCTGAGAGGCAGCCCTGGAGTCCCGGTCCCTTCCGCTGCTGGGAAGGAATAGCAGCATGCAGCTCCCCTCAGGCTCTTACCTGCACCACCTGGGTGAAGGTGTTCCTGGCCTCCTGCACCTGCTCTCCTTGACCTTGCTGCCTCTGGTCCCTATCGGCCTGGGAGCTCTCAGCCTCGGGCTGTTCTGTCCGTGTGTGCTCGCTTACAGACACCAGGACGTTCTCGGACTCCTGAGATCCACTGGGCTCTAGCCCTTCGGTCGTGGTGCTCGTTCTCTGGAATAAGTGTGGGTCTTGCGTGACCTCCTCTCGCCAGGAACCTTGTGCAGCATCTTGCAGGTATGAGACAATGGAGCCGTCTGGATCCCAGTCCTGCAGTCTGGGGTCCAGGGGAGGCAGCAGATGGCCGGCCGGGGAGAGAGAAAGGACACCTGGTCACCCATCAGTCTCACTCCTTTGAGACACTCTCCCCCTCCAGAGCTCTGGCTCATCAAGGACACGGACTGTCCTCTCATCCCCCCAAAGGTCAGGAGCACGTGAGCACACTGCCCACCTCACTGCTGTGGTTCAGAGGGGTACACGTGGCCCATCTAATGCTGTCCAAGTGAAAAGGCCACTGGTCCCTCGCTGTGGGTGAACGGCTCGCCCTTGGGGCTCCCAGGGCACTTGGCTCACCCTAATGGTCCAAACACTGGGGCCTCCACTCTCATCCCACATCCTCAAACTCTGCCACCACCTCCTTCTGCTTTCTGGGCCCTTCCCATTCAGCAGTCCTCATCTGACAAGGTGGTCATTCTCTCCCCCTCGAGACATATTCTCCCGTGGCTCTTGGAAGGTGCTGGCCTGGCGTCCCCCCTTCCTCTCTGGCCACTGTTGCTCCGTGTCCTCTGCTGATTCCTCATAACTTTCCTGACTTCTGAACATTGGAGCGCCCTGGGATTCAGTTCTCAGACCTCACCATTGTCCACATCCGCTTCCTAAGCAAGCTTGTTTATCCTATGGTTCCAAAGCCCATCTCTATGCTCAGCGTGCCTGGATGTGTGTCTCCAGCTCAGCTCTCCTCCTCGAACTACAGCTGTGTGCATCCCGCTGCCTCCTCCACATCTCTACTTTGTTGTTTTCTGAGACAGTGCTTCACTCTGTCTCCCAGGCTGGAGTGCAGTGGTACAATCACAGCTCACTGCAGCTCTGCACTCCTGGGCTCAAGCCATCCTCCCGCCTCAGCCACTTGAGCAGCTGGGGCTGCAGGCACATGCCACCACATCCAGCTATTTAAAAAATTTTGTAGAGATGGGTCTGGCTCACAGGTCTACTTTGGATCTCTACTCAGCATCTCCAGGACAGTGAGATCCAATCCACACTCAGAATCTTCTCCCCTAGCCTGTCCCACCCCATCCCTGCTGCCATCCCAGGTATCTTCATCCTTGCAGCGGGCAGGTCGAGGACATCACTGCCCTCCTTGACCCCTCTCTTCCTCTCTTACCTCACATTGTATTTGCCAGCAGATGCTTCGGAAATATGTCCTGCACCCACCCACCTCTCAGCACGGCCACCGCTGCCGTTCCAGCCCATAAGCCCACGGCCCTTTCCTCCCGACGCACCTCCTGCTTCTCTGCCAGGTTGCGCCAGCCTCCTCTCAAGGCAGGTACAGCTTACCCTGCTCACCCTCCCCTCCCTAGCTTCATGGGCTTGGTTACTCTGTTAGGGCACGTGCCAGGCACGGTCTCCTTCACAGGGCTAGGCCTTCTATGGGGCATCCTCCCTGAGATGTCCTCACGCTCACCCTCAATTCCTTGAAGTCTGTCAGCTGGCACTCATGCAGGCCTCCCCTGGCCGCCCATCTGTAATTCCAGCCGGCCTTCTTTCCACACACACTCCTACCTCCTGTCCTCCTTCTCTGCTTGATTTTTCTTTTTAGCACATATTATCTAGAATTTCTGTTTTAATGACTTCTAATTTTATTTACTTTATCTTGTTTCTTATTAGTTTCCCTGCTAGAACTACGCTTCTTGCAGGTAGAGACTTTTTTCTGTTTCATTCGATGCCGGTACCCAGACACTCTTTATAGGTGCCTGGCACACAGTAGGCACTCAATAAATACTGTTGAGTGAGTGGATGAAATTCATCTGTCCCCATTAGAAGGCTGACCAAGGTCACAGCGCCAGGAAGTGACACAATAGGCCTAGAGCCCAGGCGTTCATGTTCCCAGTTAGCAATGCTGGATAATGCAGGGGCCAGCATTCAGCCCCCGCAGGTGCTCAATAAATGCTTGTTGAAGGAACGGCCGTCCCAGGAAGGTGCCTCCCTCCCGGGAAGGCCACTATTTCACTTCACACCGGCTTAAGCTCCATCTGTTCAATCCTCCCCATGAATCCAAGGATTTGTGTAGGAAAAAAAATTGAATCTTTGCTGTCTCAACTTCCAAACTACTTCCTTTCCCTTCCTGTTAGGGCATTGGGGCTACGCTGAACGGATCCTGTGGAATGACCCTACCAGCCTGGGCCTCAGGGTGGGACTGAGGGGTCACACAGGTGGGGAAAGGACACAAGAATAGCTTTCCTTTACCTGGCCAGTCCTGAGCTCCTTGGGGTGGGGGCCTGGAACAGCTGCCTGGGGGCACAAGAACCGTGTCCTTTCTTTAGGGAAAACTTAGCAAGCCAGGTGACCTGAAGGAAAGGGGATTCCTCTGTCATCTGCTTCCTGTGCTAGCCCAGGAGGACAACGTGAGCCCCACCTCATGTCTGTCTCATCCCTTTCTGTAACCGCAAGGGCCTGGCTTGCCTTGGCATCCTTCCCTGCACTCAGCAGAGGGGCGTAGTGTAGGCCCTGGCCCAGATGGGACGATGAGAGCTCCAAGGTGAGCCTGCCCTCGGCTGCAGACTCGCAGTGTCTGGGAAATGCACCCCCTTCTCCTGACCTGCCGACGCTGCTTTTCTGCTGCAGCACGGGGGGTGGGGGGGTCTTCTCAGCCCAGGAAACTTGGGGAGGAGAGACCCACTGCTCTACAGCTGAAAGCTCTGTCCTGCCCCAGATAAGCCCACCAGCTCCTCCTTCAAAGGGGGTAAGTGGGGAGGGCGCCATTCTCAGCTCCATCACATGCAGGCTGTGTGACTGCACACAAATAACTTCCCTGGGTACTGGTGCTTCTAAATATGGTCTTCAACTAAATATGGCCTTCAACCAGAAGCACGCAGAGGGAGAGGAGCTCAGAACACCAGCTCCAGCAGCACACTGACCCATCGTCTCCCCCAGCCTCATCATTGCTCTCCTGTATGAGCCCTCTGTGTGCCCTCACGTCCCTAAGCAAGCCCTCCCCATGCCCCAGTGTTCCTAAAAGAGCCCTCTCCGTGTCCTAATATCCCTAAGTGAGCCCTCCCGGCGCCCTGATGTCCCTAAGTGGGCCCTCCAAGCCCCTGATGTCCCTAAGTGAGCCCTCCTTGAGCCCTAATGTCCTCAAGTGAGCCCTCCCAGTACCCTCATGTCCCTCAGTGAGCCCTCCCAGCCCCCTAATGTCTCTACATGAGTTCTCCCAGCAGCCTAATGTCCCTAAGTGAACCCTCCCGGTGCCCTGATGTCCCTAAGTGAGCTCTCCCAGCACCCTGATGCTCTAAGTGAGCCCTCCCAGTGCCCTAATGGCCCTAACTGAGCCCTCCCAGTGCCCCAGTGTTCCTAAGTGGGTCCTCCCAGCAGCCTAATGTCCCTAAGTGAGCCCTCCTGGCACCCTAATGTCCCTAAGTGAGCCCTCCTAGTACTGTTATGTCCCTAAGTGAGCTCTTCTGGTGCCCTGATGTCCCTAAGTGAGCCCTCCCAGCTCCCTAATGTCCCTAAGTGAGCACTTCCAGTGCCCTAATGTCCCTAAGTGAGTCCTCCCCATGCTCTAATGCCCCTAAATGAGCCCTCCCAGTGCCCTAATGTCCCTAAGTGAGTTATCCCCATGCCCTATGTCCCTAAGCGGACCTAAGTGCACCCTTATGTCCCTGAGTGAGCCCTCCCAGTGCCCTAATGTCCCTAAATGAGCCCTCCTGGCACCCTAATATTCCTGAGTGAGCCCTCCCCATGCCCTAATGTCCCTGAATGAGCCCTCCCCACCCTCTAATGTCCCTAAGTGAGTTCTCCCAGTGCCCTCATGTCCCTGAGTGCTCCCAGCCCCCTAATGTCTCTATGTGAGCTCTCCCAGCATCCTAATGTCCCTAAGTGAGCTCTCCCAGTGCCCCGATGTCCTAAGTGAGCCCTCCCGGTGCCCTAATGTCCCTGAGTGAGCCCTCCTGGCGCCCTAATGTCCCTGAGTGAGCCCTCCTGGTGCCCTAATGTCCAGAAATGAGCCCCCCAGTGCCCCAATGTCCCTAAGTGAGACCTCCCGTCACCCTAATATCCCTAAGTGAACCCTCCCAGTGCCCTAATGTACCAAAATGAGCCCTCCCGGCACGCTAATGTCCCTAAGTGAGCCCTCCCCACGCCATAATGTCCCTAAGTGAGCCCTCCCCACGCCATAATGTCCTTATGTGTGTTCTCCCAGTGCTCTCATGTCCCTAAGTGAGCACTCCCAGCCCCCTAATGTCTCTACGTGAGCTCTCCCAGCACCCTAATGTCCCTAAGTGAGCTCTCCCAGTGCCCCGATGTCCTAAGTGAGCCCTCCCAGCACCCTAATATCCCTAAGTGAGCTCTCCCCGTGCCCTAATGTCCCCAAGTGAGCCCTCTCGGTGCCCCTAGTATCCCTAAGTGAGCTCTTTCCGAGCCCTACTGTCCCCAAGTGAGCCCTCTCAGCAGCCTAATGTTCCGTAAGTGAGCCCTCCCAGCACCCTAATGTCCCTAAGTGAGCCCTCCTAGTGCTCTAATGTCCATAAGTGAGCCTTCCGGGTGCCCTAATGTCCCTAAGTGAGCCCTCCTGGCACCCTAATGTCCGTAAGTGAGCCTTCCGGGTGCCCTAATGTCCCTAAGTTAGCCCTCTCAGCAGCCTAATGTCCCTAAGTGAGCCCTCCCAGCAGCCTAATGTCCCTAAGTGAGACCTCCAAGTGCCCTAATGTATGTAAGTGAGCTCTCCCGTCGCCCTAATGTCCCAACGTGTGCTCTCTCAGTGCTCCTCGGGGTCTCTCCTGCTGGGCATACCTGGTGGGGTCTTGGGGAGGCACTGGCTTTTGCAGATGGCACCTACACTCCTATATATGGCGTCTGCCAGACTGAATGTATTTGCTCCTGTGCAATTAGAACCCAGGGTCAGGGTTGGTATCAACACCTCTGTCCTCACTGCCAGGCACAATCTTACCCAGGAGCCCAGAAGACAAAGAGGGACCCTGCTCCCGCAGTCAAGCTCTTACCTGTCCTGACTCCTCTCCGTCACCTGACTCACGGTGGGGGAGTATGTGACTCGGGCTTGCCCCCTCTGATGGCCTGAAACAAGAGACACTTCATTCTCTGAGTCCTGCCCTGCACCTGTCGCGTCATCCTGCCTCTTAGAACCTGGCAGCTTCTCTTCTGACCTCTGACCTTCCTCCTGTTCAAGCAAATCGATAAGGCCATTTGTGGCATCTGAATCCACTGTGTCGTCCTCCACAAGTTCCAGAGAGCCCAACTCGGGGCCCCGCGGTTCCTCTGAGAGTGCCCCCTCCAACTTCCACTCGTGACCTGTGGCGTCAGAGTCCTCGGCCTTGCTGCACTCCAGAGAGGAGTCCTCAGCAGTGACCAGGGAAGGCGTGAGGCCCGCGGACCACACCTGCATGTCAGACATCTCCAGCATGGTGTCATGCTCCGTGGCCGCCAAGGGGATGGCGTCTAGGACGGCCACCTCGTTCCAGTACTGGTCTGCACGTAGCGGAGAGGAAAGCGCACAGCCCAGGGAGGCAGGGGACAGCAGCTCGTCCTGCAGCGAGGAGTAACCTGGATGGGCAGACAGAGGGCAACATGCTCCAGCAGCGATTCCTGTCCCACGCATTCACATGCAGGTCAACGCACACGCACACACACACACACGCAGGCACGGCCAGAGAGGTGCATGCACATTCAGGGTGGGTTGGGGCTTTCCAAGCTCCAGGCCCAATGCTCAGGCCTTCTGGCTACTGCCTGGGCATCCAGGCAAGAGAAGCAAGGCTCTGAATTGGGTGGGGGCAGCCAGGGTGTGAGGCAGAGATGGGGGAGCTCCCTGCTGGATGGTGAAGAGGAGATTGGACTCTTTCTTATCCAGTTCAGAGCACTAGATAAAGAAGCCTTTATCCAAAGGACTTGTGCTCCAATCTGTCTCTGATCCCGCGAAAGCTCCACTTCTCCATGGCTGGGCAGAAATAGATATAGCTCCTCTACTCAAAACTTCACTTTAGCTCAGTTCTTAGGTTCTCAGGGATGTACCTTAAAGGGAAGGAAAAGCCACCAGAACCAGGGGTAGTAACCAGGCTGCCCTTGAGGGGCCTACCAGGGTATACCAAACACCCATAGACCTCAATGTGGTGATCACATGGGAAACAACCTTCTGGTGTGGCCAGGTGTCACCCTCCTCAAGTTGCTTATTGGTTCTAGAAACTCTGAATGATCTAAAGTGCCAGAGGGGAGGGCTCTTAGGGCTCAAAAGGGGCAAGGTCAGAAGGCACCAAGAGGCACCAGGTCTGCCCGCCCCAAAGCCCTGTGTCCAAGAGCCCTGAGCTGTTTGTCCCAGCTGCAGGTCAGCACTGACCTGGTGGGATGGGAGCCAGCTCGCTCATGCCCTGAGCGCATGACCCGTAGTCACCATGGCCTGCCCATCTGTCGTTCCCTGCTCCCTGGCTGGGATGGGAGTCCCTGCTGATGTTCTGGTTGGCTTTGGCACTGGCTCCCTGATGTTCATAAGTGACCGTGACACTGAGTGAGTGGCATGCACGCACATGTGCATTTGTGGGGGCATCAGCGTTCCATCCGGGGCTTCTCAGCCCTCCTCTGGCTGGGAGCAAGGACCTCTGCTACAGGAGAAAGAGGTCTCTGATGTCCCTTCAGAGCAGGTGCCTCTGTGGGTGGGAGAAGGGAATAGAAGACAAGATTCTCCAATGGGCTTGGCCTGTCTAGGAAACCAGGAAACAAGTACGTGCTTACAGCAGCTGGAAAGCCCACGGAGCTGAAAGTGAACCCTGTGAATGGGCAGGGCTGCCCCTTGCATCTCTCTGCCATCCAGAGATGTCCAGACAACCCCCAGCCTAGAGTTCAAACCTAGTTCAAATGCTCCATTCTGCCATTCAGTCCCTACCCCCACCTCTACTCACATCCAACTGCCCCCAGGCTGTGCTTTGATTCAAGCCAGGTGGGCTCCTTTCTTGCCCTCTTAACCCTCCGTTAAGGGCCTCAGCTCCTGATCACCTGCTCCCCTGCTTTTACATCACTAGCTCCATTTATTCTCATCCACTCACTGTTCAACCAAAACAAGAGAGGTCCCATTACATGCCAGGCACTGTGCTAGGGGATGACAAATCCCAAACACACATGAACACGAACACACACACACTCACACACATACACACACTCACACACACTCTCACCCACACACTCACAGATGGGCCAGCTTCTTGTTTCATGGCATTTTCACAGCTTCCGCTCCTGTTGATCCCTCCCATCTCTGAGGCTGTCCTAGGGCCCTTGCTAAGGCTGTTCTCGGAAATGCAAACCCATGAGGACAGGGCTGATGTCTGCTTTCCTGTCCCCACCCTTTTCTACAACAGGATTGGACCTCCACTAGCCCCATGACCACTGCAGAGCTCTCCAGGTGTGTGAGGACCCAGCAGCTGGAACAGAAAGACCTCAGGCACATTTAGTGGAACTGCAATTGCTAACATGTACCTGTGTGTTCAACGTGCCCGGAGCCGGGCTGTGTACTCGGCATGCATTCTCTTAATCTCCCCAGGAAAGTTTTCTTCCCTACAAGTCTACTTGGTTCCAGGTCCCAAATGAGCGGGGAGGATGAGCCTGTGAAGGTGGGGTGGCTGGGAGCAGGGCTGCACAATGGCAGAGACTGAGGGAAACCCCTTTTAGCTCTGGCCAAACTAGGAAGAACAAGGAGGAGGGAGTGGGAAGAAAAGATGAAATGGGTCACATCTTACCATGAAATGAACTCCAAGTCACTGTACATGAAACTGTGACTTGAGGAATTATATAGCTGACCAGGGCTCTGGCCTTCAAACCCTTCATAGAAAGCCCTCCAGATATACAAAAGCAGGACATTTTGGGGTCAAGTGATGATTATTTTTCTTATTACTCTTGCGAGCATTTTTTAAGTTACATCACATACTGAGCATTTTTGTTGTTGTTGTTTTTTGAAGCAGAGTCTTGCTCTGTTGCCCAGGCTGGAGCGCAGTAATGCAGTCTCAGCTCACTGTAACCTCTGCCTTCGGGTTCAAGTGATTCTCCTGCCTCAGCCTCTCCACTGGGAGTAGCTCGGATTACAGGTATGCACCATGACACCTGGCCAATTTTTGTATTTTTAGTAGAAACAGGGTTTCACCCTGTTAGCCAGGCTGGTCTCAAACTGCTGACCTCAAGTGATCTGCCTGCCTCAGCCTCTCAAAGTGCTGGGATTACAGGGTTCAGCCACTGCACCCGACCATTGAGCGCATTTTTAGTGCAAAACATATCTTACGTGTTATTTTTAATTGCCACAACAACCCTACAAGGAAAATAATGTGATTCCTACTTTATACATTAGGAAACTAGAGGTTTAGCAACTTGGGGAAGGTCACATAGCTAGTAAGTTTGGTCTTTCCCATAGACTTTGCCATTAATCTCTTTTAAAAATAGCTTTGTTGAGGTATGTTTGACATTCAATAAATGTGTATCTTTAAAAGGGGGTAAATTGATGCATTGTGAACATGTGTACCCCCATGAAGCCATCACCTCAAATAAGAAAATGGACATTTGTCACCCCAGAAAGGTCTTCTCAAGCTTCTTTGTAATCTCTCCTTCCCCTTTCCCCCTCCACCAACCCCCAAACCATTCCCAGGTGACCCTGATCTTCTTTTCGTCACTATACATCACTTTGCATTCCCCAGGATTTTACATAAATGGATTCATACAGTATGCACTCTCTCTTTTTTTTAAGCCTGGCTTCTTTCACTCAACACAGTCATTTGTGTTTCATCCATGCTGACGCATGTATCAATAATTTATTTCTGTTGTTAAGCCATAGTCCATTGGATGGATATATCACAGTTTGCAAATCTATTTACCTGTCAATGGACATTTTTGGGTTGCTTCCAGTTTGTGGCTATTACAAATAAAGCTGCTAGTCTGTATGAACATAATGCTTTCTTTTCTCTTGGGTAAATAACTAGGAATGGAATGACTTGACCGTACAGTAGGTGTATGTTTAACTTTATAAGAAATGATCAAGTGGTTGTACCATTTTGCAGTCCCACCAGTGGTGTATGAGAGTTCCAGTTCTCCCATATCCTCACCAACACTTTATATGGCCAGCCTTTTTAATTTTAACCATTCTTTTTGGTGTGTGGTGGTACCTCCTTATAGTTTTGATTTGTATTTCCCTAATGAGTAATGATGTTGAGCATATTTTCATGTGCTTATTTGCCTTGTGTATATATTCTGGGTGAAAAGTCTGTTCGAATCTTTTGTTCAATCTAAAAACTGAGTTGTTTTCTTATTATTAAGTTTTGAGAGTTCTTTATATATTCCAATACTATAGCAGATGGTTATTTGCCAATATTTTCTCCCAGTCTGTATCTCGTCTTTTCATTTTCTTAACAGTGTATTTTGAAGAGCAGAAGTTTTGATTTTGATGAAGACCAATTTGTCAATTTGTTCTTTTATGGATTGTGCTTTTGGTGTTGTATCTGAGAAATCTTTGTCTTAACCAAGATTTTTAAGGTTTTTTTCTTATGTTTTCTTCTAGAAGTTTTAAGTTTTAGATATTACATTTAATCTATGACCCATTTAGAGTTGATTTTTGTACACAAGGTAATAATCCAAGTTCATGTTAGTTTATATTTTTTGCATAAATATTCATAAATGATATTGGTCTGCAGTTTTCTTGTTAATTGTCTTTCTTCCCAATATCAGGGTAATGCTGGCCTCATAAACTTAGCTGAGAAGTATTTTCTCATTTTCAATTTTCTAAACAAGTTGTTTCTTCCTTAAATGTTTGGTAGAATTCACCAGTGAAGCCATCTGGGCATGGACTTTTCTTTGTAGGAATGTTCCAAACCATACACTTAATGTCTTCCATTTATATGGGGCTATATCTGTTTCTTCCTAAGTGAGCTTTGAGAGTTTGTGTCTTTCAAGGAATTTGTTAATTTCACCTGTTTTCCAATTTACTGACATAAAATTGTCACAGTATCCCTTTATTGTCCTTTTACTACCTGTAGATATTCTATAGGTAGTATATATTCCTTATTCCTGATATTGGTAATCTGCAGGTCTTCTCTTTTTTCATAATCAGTTTGGCTAGAGGTTTATCAATGTTATTGATCTTTTCAAATCACCAGCTTTTGGTTTCATTAAGTTTCTCCAAGTTTTTCTGCTTTCTATGTCACTGATTTCCACTCTAATCTTTATTATTTCCTTTATTCTATGATTTTAGGTTTAATTTGCTCTTCTTTTTCTAATTTCTTAAGGTAGAAAACTCTTTATTTTGCTTTCATTTTTGAAGTTACTGTGCTAGGTATAGAAGTCTAGGTTACTTTGGAGATATTGTTTCTTTCCTCTTTAAAGATGTGGCATACTTTAAAGATGCCATACCATGTTCTGGCTTGTGTTGTTCCTTTTTTTCTTTCTTTTTCCTTTTTTCTTTTCTTTCTTTTTTTTTTTTTTTGAGACAGGTTTCACTCCTGTTACCCAAGCTGTAGTGCAATGGTGCAATCTTGGTTCACTGCAACCTCTGCCTCCTGGGCTCAAGCGATTCTCCTGCCTCA